GCCACCAACCGCACAACCACCTGTGACTGCCACGCCTTTAACCAACTGCTCAACCGCCTGCGACTGCCACGCCACTAACAAACTGCTCAACCGCCTGCGACTGCCACGCCACTAACCAACCGGTCAACCGCCTGCGACTGCCGCGCCACTAACCAACCGCTCAACCGCCTGCACCTGCCACATCACATTAAGGCACTAACCGACTGCGACAGCCACGCCATGCCTCCAACAGCTTAACCGCCTGCAACTGCCATGCCACTAACCAACCGCTCAACCGTCTGCGGCTGCCACGAAGCCAACTACTCAACTGCCTTCAGCTGGCACACTGTGCCACACCTCCAACCGCTCAACCGCCTGCGACTGCCATGCCACGCCTCCAACCGCTTAACCGCCTGCAACTGCCATGCCACTAACCAACCGCTCAACCGCCTGCGGCCGTGAAGCCAACTACTCAACTGCCTTCAGCTGGCACACTGTGCCACGCCTCCAACCGCTCAACCGCTTGCGGCTGCCATGCAATACTGACAACTCCTCAATTGCCTTGCAGCTGCCGCGCCACACCGTTTCCGCCAACCATTCAACCGCCAGTGCAGCTTTGCTTCCTCTTTGTCTTATGTGTCAGATTAGGTTCAGCTGTGTCTACCTTCTGTCATATTCTCCCTTCTGTATTCCTTCCTTATCCTCTGTCTTTATTGTGTGCATTTTCCTTTGTTCCTTGTTGGATCATCTGCTCATCATCCACTGCTTCACTTCTCATGTTTCCAAGTCCCGGGGTTTCTCCAGGTTTCTATATTGTGTTTTCTGTGTATCTCATGTGCTTATGTGTTGCTGGCCCCAGTTTGAGGAAAACTAACAAAAAGTTTTCAGAATAGAAAACTTTTTGTTAGTTTTCCTCAAACTGGGTAGTTGTTTGCTAGTTGTTTTGTAGTATTGTAAATGGAAAATATTAAAAAATTTTAAAAATACAGATCTTGGATGGAGGAAAATTTAACAGTGCTAACACAAATGGAAAAGTTGTTATTTTTCCTAAAGCTCAATACGTCTTTTAACATCAGGGAACACAATATGGCTGAGGAACACTTGAGTGATGGCTGCTGAAAATGGATTCTTGATGAAAAATCAATGAGGATGAATAATTCAATGAATCATTAATAGTCACTTGCATAATTTATGATCAATTTATTGTTATTTTAAATAAATGCAAATGTGTTGTGTGTCCAAAAACACAGATCTGTGTATGTAGTGCCAAACCTTTGAAGGTAACATACTTACAAAACAAACTAAAATAAGATAGAAATATATTAGAAAAATTTAAAATTTAAGCATTTGTCAATTTGGTTACATTGATAAACAGAACGTGCATGATGCGCCGCTGATCTCAAAATTATATCACAGTCGTATCTTCCATTTTCTATTCTGATTTTTTTAGACTGTGAGATAAACCTCAATATTGTCATAAAAAAATACTGTTAGAATGGCCATCCATTCATCCATTAATCTGTCCATCCACTTCCACTTATCCGAGTCTGGATCAGGGTTGTGGAGAAGCAGAGAAGACCTCCTTGTCCCCAACCACCTCCCTCTAGTTCATTCAGGGGGACACCAAGGCAGCCGAGAGATGCAAACAAGGTTTCCTCCCAATAGGACATCCCCAAAACACCTCACCCAAGAGGTGTCCAGGAGACATCCCAGTCCAAAACAACTCAGCTGGCTCCTTTGGATGCGAAGGATTAATGGCTGTTTCTGCTGAATCACTGAGCTCTGCATCCCATCTTTAGGGGAGAGTCCAGCCACCCTCTGAAGGAAGCTTTTTTCTGCTGATTGTGTCTGCAGTCTCCTTCTGTCAGTCAGTTTCAAAAGCTTGTGGGCATAAGTGAGGGTATGAATATGGATCAACCACTAAACTGACAGTTTCACTTTCATGTTCACCAGTTCAGCATCGCTGCAGATCTCTCCTCACTCATGATGCTAAACTGCTCCACTTGTTCCTTACCCAGAGTGGGTACTCCACTCTTTTTCCACCCTCAGACTTGGAGGTACTAATTTTCATCCCAACAGCTTCACACTCGGCTGCAAACCGCCTTAGTATGAGCTGGACGTCATGGCTCAATCAAGCCAGCTGAAGCACATCAGAGACAAAAAACAAAGGCGAGATCCTGAGAACAACTGATACCCTTTTCCTCCCCAAAATGTAAGAATACAGAAAGAAACCATGTTGCCCACAGGTGGCATTTGATTTTAGCACCTGCATCTGATCTTTAATCTCCATTAACCTTTCATAGACTATGTCTGTGTAGAAACAACCTGGATGAGAGGTGAAACATCTTCACCTTAACCTTAAGAAGTCCAGGCACTGTATTTCCAAGCTCCTTAAATTGAAAACACAACTTCTCAATAAAGTATATTATCATAAAATCAGGAATAAGATAAATAAGGAAAAACAAAACAAACAAAAAAAGAATAACTGATAAATAAACATTTTTTTTCCTGGTCTACAATTAGAGGTTATATACTCATTAGAACCCCCTCCTCTATTGCCACCTGAAACTTTTTCAAATGTTTCACTCATTAATTTAAACGGCTTTGCCTCACATCACCTCAGGGACAAATTAAAATAATAATTTTCTGTTGACCTAACCAAACTCGCCATAATAGGATATATTTTAATTCCAAGAGCAGTAATTCACCAGAATCAGCTAAAATCTCATAAACCTGCTTGTTGGGCGACTTCTTTCATGTTGACAGTGTCAGAGTTAATCATGTGCAAATATCTGCTGTTTACAAAGTGATGCACCTTCATTACAGATGTTAAAACAATAAAAACTAAATTGAAACAAACAAACCCAGTCCAGACGCTAATTGAAACTAAACTGAGCTGAAAAAACAAATTAATTAAAACCAAATCAAATTATTAACAAACCCAAATAACTCTGACACAGACCAACTTTCATGGTTTTAGCAAAAATAACTCCTCAGTATGAGACTCAGCTCATACATCGCTCTACACACTCAAACTAACACAACTTTATAAGAAGTCCTAAGATTAGGTAAATACACCC